AAGCTATAAATGTGATTTTTCAGTGGCTTCAGTCTAAGGGTATAATACAGACTCTAAAGCATCTTTCTTAAGCTTTCACAAAACATGCTCACTTTTTCCTCCTACTCTATTATTTAATTACTTAGATACTTTGCCTCTTCTTTATCAGAAACCAGTCATTTGGCTCTAAATTTTATCTCTATTGGATATGTCAAAAGTCTCTGCCTTTGTCTCTCCCTCCCTCCATGCTCATCCTTCCTTTCTCTTCCTCTCTCACCTTTAATTCTGCAACTTCTACTTCAATATCCCCACCTTCCTATGAAGCAGCTATGCATTTTGTAATATTTACAAAATGTTTACTTCAGTACATTCATATGTTGTAGTGAAGGAGAAAACAAAACTACTCCTAGACATTAGCTCAGTGGTTCTCTGACTTCAGTTATGATGGGGCAAGAATTCATGTATAAATCCAGATCTCCGGGCTACATGTGATAGAGCTGCTCCTATGGTTGTTCTGGGCTGGGGTCCTGGCAACTGCATCCTCATTATCAGCTGGTAATGGTGCAGGATGTCTAAAGGCAACCTTTGAAATGTTTTCCCTACTCAATAATTGTGGGAAGATGGCTAGCAATATGCTGTTGGTGCCCATTACTCAAGGCCAAACAAGTCCTTTCACATGGACAACTGGATAAGGCCAGGAAATTTTAATTATGCTTAAGTTGCATTTCAAATTGGATTTTTTCCCCATCTTTCTTTTTAGGGTAATGTGTTACCAGGAACATTTGTTAGATGGGCTTGCCTGTTCTATTTAAATAAAGTGGCTCTGAAAAGCTACTGTGATTGATGTATAAAAGGAAGGTTGAAAATAATTGTAGCATTTTCTCGGTTCTTATTTCTCCCATCTCAGAAATCTACTTTCTCTGATCATCTAAGCTATGTGTTCTTCTTTTACTTAATATTTATAGTAAATATAGAGAAAAGAATTTCTAGTTTTACAGTTTTGCCCTCCACTAAGCTTTGCATGACTAGCATGTATTTCTGGCATATTTAGCAATCTAGCTCCCTTACATGCTTGAATTTTATTTAGGGGTAGAAAGACAGGCTATTTTCTTAGCACAGTATGAAAATTGACTTCTGATGCTAGTAGCCTTTTTTATCATTCAAATTACAGTTATGTTTCACAAGGATTCTGATATAGCGGTAGCAACTGACCACCATGTCTTCAATTCTGAGCATGGCAGACAGACTTCATTTTTTAAAAATCAAGCTTTCTTATTTTTTCTATTTTGGAAAATATCTCCATTCCCATATCCTTTTAACATCTTTTACATTCTCATTTTCTTATTTTTTTTTAATAATTATGAGACATAATAACATTAACAAATAAATTTTCCTTTGGTTGTGAAATTTCTTTTCCTGGGAATGCTAAGTAATGCTTATTGCCTTTTTAAGCCTAAGCAAGTGATGAAGGTCTGTTTAGGTTTGTTATATATAAAGGATGAGACAAAAATAATATACATATAATCTTAAATTTTCTTTGGTCATAGTTTAGTCAACTAGTTTAAGGAACAAAATATATATCTAGTCAATGTTTATCTGAGACTATTTGGTTTTTATCCAAGAATTATCTACATAGCATATGATAATTAAAAGTACCAGACTGGTAGAACTAATCTTATTGATGTTTAACGGCTGTACTTTAAGGCCTATAGGCCTCCAAGGTTGACCAAGTTCCAGGGCACTATGGAACATCTCTAAAAATGTCCTGTAACTGTGTTGAGCTACCTGTCCTCTTGTTCAAGGAGGACGTGGAGACCCCATGAGATGGGCTTGAACCCATGCTCAGCCTGCAAAGAGGAGGGTCAACTTAGAGGAAACATCTCACTCATGCTTCCAAGCAAAGCCAGACATGGTCAAACAGGACCTTTGACTTAGCTTCACATAGATGGAACTGGTAAAAGAAAGGAGCCAGGAGCTCCTCCAAAGCCCATGGGACCCCTGAGGAACAGATCCTCAAATGACCTTAAATGTAAAAATACATTGATTTGTTTGGGCCAACTGTATGGTCTTAAACACCCAAAAGGAAAGTATAACCAAAGAGTAAAGTCATCAGTATACTTCTTTAAGAGTTCAAGAGATTACACTTCCAAGATATTAGGCTTAAGACCATATAAAAAGTGATTTAGAAACTTATTTCTCATTGATGACTTTGTTCCTAAACATAAACTGCTGCTCACATGTAAGACTTCAAATCTTCATCTCCAATACTGTAGTGCCCATGTGTATCTAAGGGAGGCAATCAACTATTGTTCTAAAATGATGGATAAATTTTTTTCTCCCCTGTTGGAAGACAAAAGAAAAATGAGGAGGAACCCAATAGAGGGATGCTTTCGGAAGCCCTTGTCAAGAAATTCCAATGGACTCTCATAGGAACACTTGAAAATTGCCCTATTCTTTTTTCTATTTCCCTGTCTAGAACTTGTAATGCTAATTATTCTTGCCTCTGCTTCTCCTTCACATCTCCTATTCACCAGTCAAGGACTTTCTTTTCCCCTTACAGATAAGAGTTATGCAATTTGGGAGTCTTTTAGTTAGACCCACTGAAGGGGTACTCCAGTTGCCTCACCCTGCATCCCTGTTCAGCATGGAAAAAGTCAGAGTGGTCTGCATCCCTACTCCCTATTGGCAATTTGGGTAACCTCTTCAGAGGATGGCATGATAAGAATAAGAGGTAGGAATTGGCTAGGCAGTTAGGGTAAAAAGACCCGAAAGAAAAGTAGCCAGTTTTTCAGCTAAAACACACAATTTCGTTGGGCCTCTTAGCAACATACTCTTTTCCAAAGGCCAAAAATGTCAAAAGTATTTGGGAGCATGTATCTAATACTTAAAAGATTTTAGGGTTACCTCTTCAGAGAGGGGCATGTTAGAGTAGCAAAAAGCCCCATTAAAAAAGGAAGAAAAGCTACATGAAATTATCAAAAAAAAAGTGATGGGGAGATATGAGAGGAGTTGGAGGGGAGGGAGTGGGCATGGATTTGATCATATA